ACTCTTAAAGATGTCGATCTGTTTGAAAGGTTGGTTACTTGCATAACACCGGTTCTCTGAACACAGAGTGAGACATCACCAAACTGCCCGACCTGCAAGGGCAGGGCATCCCCGTGTCCTTTGAAGTGATTGGACAGCCTCGCACAGACCAATCACAGGGAACGCAGGTGGTGGAGCTTCCGTGATTGGTCACACCAGAGGGCACTTCCCACACATAATGGACTCACTTTGCAGAGAACGGGGGTTACACAAATGACCAAATTCTTTGTTGAATTTATTAGAAATGCTTTATTTTCTTTTTATTACCAATAAAAAATGGAACTGAGGCAGTTGTGTGTTGTCTATCAGCACTCCCACGGCCAGAAACAAAAAGCAAACAACTCTGGGGACAAATAAAAACAAAGGTTTCACTGCGACAACAAGAAGAAGAAGGTCTCATGATCTGTTACAAAGTTTATTACTGGACAACCTCCAGCTGAGACAGCGCTCGCCGCTCGCAGCCACAGGCAGGGCGTGAACATAAGGAACAAACATCCACTCGGTTTAACCCTCTGCAGGCATGCCACACCTGTCAGATAAGCCCCGCCCCTCAACTAAAAACTCATTCACAGACGTCCCTCTGTGTTCTGCAGGGTGGGAGGCGTGGTCTGTAGCTCCCAGGGACCTCCTACTGTCCGATCTGCAGCTCCTGCAGCTCCTTCAGCAGCTGCTCCTCCTTCTGGATCTTCTCCACCTGCAGAGGAAAGGTTAAGCTCAGCGTTAGCGCCGCTGTGCTCCCAGCACCCACAGCGTGATCACAGTTCCTCCAGGCACCACCCAGGGCCCGCCGATGACTGCGGCGCCCGGCGTTTGCCCCTCACGAGCCCATATTAGTTTGTGGGACATGAGGCAGAAACAAAAACATCACCTGGTTCTTCTGCAGGACCTTCCCCGACGCCTGCTGCTCCTTCAGCTCCTCGATGGCCTTCAGTTTCTGAAACACACAAACGTCACTGCCTGACCAATCAGAGCACCACACACCACTGACCCCGCCCCCAGATCCACCTGACTGACGTTCACAGAAATAAACCACCCTTCACCTTCTTCAAGTTCTTGATCTTCTTTTCCACCTCTGGGTCACCGATGCTTGCCTCTGATTGGCTGTTAGTGACAGCGGCGGGGTCAGTGGGAGGTTCTGGTTCTGGTTTCGTCTCCTGTTGAAATAATCAGATCAGTGTTCACATGACTGCCTCGAGCAC